CATATGTCTGTGTGTGAACACGAAAATCAACGGACTGCAATTACTGATCTTCAACAGCCTCTACTAACCCTATTGCAGACCACATATTCGCTACGCACGCCTCCACATCAGATACAGTTAAGTTGACCAGTAGACCATCTGAGAAATGCTACTCTCACAAGGATGACACAGCTTTCCAAAACCTAGGCTGAACTGTCTTTCGTAAACAATTGTTATTCCATTCACATAGACTCGTAGGCACTGTTTCGACCGCACTCCACAATATGCACTCATGTATATAAACTACTTGTTTCTCCCACTCGCCTGTTACATGAATTCGACTGCTTACTTCGGACTAGTCTTGGTTGATATCTGTGGGTACCGATAGAACCGGGTCAGTATCTGACATGGCTTACATCCTATCCTCTTTACGCCTAGAAACACCCTCGTTCAACTCTGATAAAATAGAGTTGTTGGCGAATTCAATCTCACTGACCCCAAATCTATCTTTCCTATGTGACACGATTCTATCTCGCATCTGTCTCCACGTGTCTGACACTTCAGTTGTGACAAACCCCTGAAACTCCTACTCCTATCACCCAATTTTAAGCAGTGGAAGGAGCAGACCTTGGCAAACAGCGGCTGACCAGCCCACAAGTCCAAACAGCGGTCACAATCAAAATCGAAAAGTGTGAGAGCTTACACCATTTCCAGAGTGCTTGTCTACCTGTCCCACTATTTGTGTGCTGCAAACGTTGGTAAGATGCCTACCCAAATCGTTGTCTGATCTGCCTGATTGAAACGGCATAGCACTCGCTTAGTGGCTAACATGTTCACTTCAATGACAGTAAGCAAGACATCAATTAGGTGAATCACATTCTCCGATTAGTCTCTGCATACAACAATACTCAACACATATCACGTCTGTCTGCTTTCCACATAGAACTTTGCACCGATGTGCAGCAGTTCAAGTCGTCACACTCCATGTAGCACACAAAGCAAGAGAAGAAAGTGAAAAGAAATGCAAAATAGAGACAGTAAACAGAGACATGAGACAAAAGGAATAGTAATAACGAAGCAACAGTCGGGAATAATTCATAACTTAGGAATACTGCACACTTGGGTTCGTTCTTCTCCTTCATCTCCCGGATATCATCTCGTAAAGAAAGTCTCCAACTGTGACATCATTCTCAGCATGGAACTTTAAGGCACTCTTGATATAAGCATAAAACTTGGGCACTCTGGTAGAGTATAACTCCATTATGGATAGGATTTTATTTTGATAAATCACACAGTGTTATACAGTAATATTAACTGATGACGTTTCGAGCACAAACTATTGCTCATAATCATATCAAGTTACTCACACAACTTTCTTCCTTCATTCATGTACATGTGTGGAATTGACTAGATATTTAAGGCACTCTCCCTAGTCAGACGACAGATCCTCATTGAATCGCAACAGAAAACAGGCAACCTGCGTCACAAAATAATCCATTCTACAAGTGTTTGTATTGCCAAATATACGCCTGATCCACAGATATCAACGAATGTCAGGCAGCCTTATCGGACTTTGTCAGATCAAAGAACATAATCCGAGATTGATCTATGTACACACATGTCTGTGTGTGAACACGAAAATCAACGGACTGCAATTACTGATCTTCAACAGCCTCTACTAACCCTATTGCAGACCACATATTCGCTACGCACGCCTCCACATCAGATACAGTTAAGTTGACCAGTAGACCATCTGAGAAATGCTACTCTCACAAGGATGACACAGCTTTCCAAAACCTAGGCTGAACTGTCTTTCGTGAACAATTGTTATTCCATTCACATAGACTCGTAGGCACTGTTTCGACCGCACTCCACAATATGCACTCATGTATATAAACTACTTGTTTCTCCCACTCGCCTGTTACATGAATTCGACTGCTTACTTCGGACTAGTCTTGGTTGATATCTGTGGGTACCGATAGAACCGGGTCAGTATCTGACATGGCTTACATCCTATCCTCTTTACGCCTAGAAACACCCTCGTTCAACTCTGATAAAATAGAGTTGTTGGCGAATTCAATCTCACTGACCCCAAATCTATCTTTCCTATGTGACACGATTCTATCTCGCATCTGTCTCCACGTGTCTGACACTTCAGTTGTGACAAACCCCTGAAACTCCTACTCCTATCACCCAATTTTAAGCAGTGGAAGGAGCAGGCCTTGGCAAACAGCGGCTGACCAGCCCACAAGTCCAAACAGCGGTCACAATCAAAATCGAAAAGTGTGAGAGCTTACACCATTTCCAGAGTGCTTGTCTACCTGTCCCACTATTTGTGTGCTGCAAACGTTGGTAAGATGCCTACCCAAATCGTTGTCTGATCTGCCTGATTGAAACAGCATAGCACTCGCTTAGTGGCTAACATGTTCACTTCAATGACAGTAAGCAAGACATCAATTAGGTGAATCACATTCTCCGATTAGTCTCTGCATACAACAATACTCAACACATATCACGTCTGTCTGCTTTCCACATAGAACTTTGCACCGATGTGCAGCAGTTCAAGTCGTCACACTCCATGTAGCACACAAAGCAAGAGAAGAAAGTGAAAAGAAATGCAAAATAGAGACAGTAAACAGAGACATGAGACAAAAGGAATAGTAATAACGAAGCAACAGTCGGGAATAATTCATAACTTAGGAATACTGCACACTTGGGTTCGTTCTTCTCCTTCATCTCCCGGATATCATCTCGTAAAGAAAGTCTCCAACTGTGAAATCATTCTCAGCATGGAACTTTAAGGCACTCTTGATATAAGCATAAAACTTGGGCACTCTGGTAGAGTATAACTCCATTATGGATAGGATTTTATTTTGATAAATCACACAGTGTTATACAGTAATATTAACTGATGACGTTTCGAGCACAAACTATTGCTCATAATCATATCAAGTTACTCACACAACTTTCTTCCTTCATTCATGTACATGTGTGGAATTGACTAGATATTTAAGGCACTCTCCCTAGTCAGACGACAGATCCTCATTGAATCGCAACAGAAAACAGGCAACCTGCGTCACAAAATAATCCATTCTACAAGTGTTTGTATTGCCAAATATACGCCTGATCCACAGATATCAACGAATGTCAGGCAGCCTTATCGGACTTTGTCAGATCAAAGAACATAATCCGAGATGGATCTATGTACACACATGTCTGTGTGTGAACACGAAAATCAACGGACTGCAATTACTGATCTTCAACAGCCTCTACTAACCCTATTGCAGACCACATATTCGCTACGCACGCCTCCACATCAGATACAGTTAAGTTGACCAGTAGACCATCTGAGAAATGCTACTCTCACAAGGATGACACAGCTTTCCAAAACCTAGGCTGAACTGTCTTTCGTGAACAATTGTTATTCCATTCACATAGACTCGTAGGCACTGTTTCGACCGCACTCCACAATACTCAACACATATCACGTCTGTCTGCTTTCCACATAGAACTTTGCACCGATATGCAGCAGTTCAAGTCGTCACACTCCATGTAGCACACAAAGCAAGAGAAGAAAGTGAAAAGAAATGCAAAATAGAGACAGTAAACAGAGATGCGAGGCATAGGGAATAGTAAGAACTAAAAACTATATTGTTGCATTGGTTACTATAACTCACAGGTAGATGATGCATTTTCGCCAGGCATTGATAACGATTACGAGCCATATCACCAATTGTCCACAGCTATTGGATTTTACCGTTCAGAGGACCCCAGCCAGATATTCAGGAAGTCCACATTTTCCTACGTGGCTTAAACCAACTGTTATAGATTACACTGTCTTTTGCCATGTTTTCGTTTAACCACCACTAACTATTTTTAGCGTGACCCTATGTCAACTAACATTACCTGTCGAGGAAGGCGATGACTAAGTATACGTAACACATGTCTTAGCTTTTTCAGTCGATGTAACTTCACAGCCTCCTCGATTGATTCCCTCTCTTCACCTAGCACTCGACGCATAACCGCAATATTGCTCACCCTATCACAACACTTCACAGGGGAGATAGATTTCATATCAATCACAGCAAAACTCAACTGGTATTAATTCAAACAGATATACGACATCAATCATAACACAATGACAGTGGACCAAACTAACAACACACAATCACCCACAAAAGCACTACTGCATTCAACGTTAACAAAGATTGTAGTGATACACACCTAAATACATTCCACGTAACAGATACGACCTCACCCACCCATGTAGTTTTTGAATCAGTCTTATTTGTCTACACTTAGCACGCATAACCCTTAGTCCTTGGGCATTGGTTACGAAATAGCTATACACTTAAAACAAAGGGAGCACACCCAGATAGCCATAAACTCCTATCAAGTGTACGAGCGTGTTTAACGCTTGGTCGTGCGGTCAATTTCGGGACCGACTGGGTCTCTACACTCCAACATCTCTCTCTCATCAAAGTTCGACTTGCACTAACCTATCCTCATTTCGACAGGCACATAAATCTGCGGTTTGATCAACTCATTTTCTCAACTGATACTCCCCCGTTTAGGCTACGACCCTTATGTCCCGGGTTGTATAGAAGAGTGTTGCGAAAATATGCAGTTTATTCATCAAGTCATATGTACAAAAATGCGCAGTTAATCGCTGTCGTCCGAGGACACTTCTTCAGCATCCGCTTCTTGTCTGAAAACAAAAAGAACTGGATATACTACAATGGGAATAAGTGGAAAGGGCTATCAGAAGATTACGTCATCAGTAGACAGACATATGCTTGATCATTATAACCAAGACTTATTGGACTCACCTTACAGATTCGTCATTACTTGTATCGCCGGACTCAGAAAGTTTTGGAACTTTCACTTTTTGCCTACAGAGGATATCAATTACAATCAGTCCACTTACATTGGATTTTCCGCTGACTCTTCCGTCTTCGCCTTTTTAGAGTTCTGATTCACGCTGAAAATATTAGAACAGGATAGTGATATTGACAATTTACCCAACGGAGTTTGGAGTACTCATGACTTCACCAGGTTTTGCAAACTTTCTCAACAATCCTTGAGCAACAAGTTTCTTTCGCTCCATAGCCACAGGACCACGACCCCATTGTCGAGGGTATAGATCACGTTCCATTATAACTCTTTTCAATTTAGCAACCAATCCATGGTCACACGTTGCAATGGTAGCAGTAGTCATCAGAGCGATAGCTTCAAGATAATAATGTCAGTCCAAGTAGACTTACCAAGGGCTACAGCCTCGCCTTTGGTGGTCATCAAGACTATTTCGTCATTTATATTAATGTCGTTGTCATAACGTAGTACGCCAGGCAACATTAGTTTTGCGCCAAAGCATATAGCACACACCTTTGGTGATCATTGATAATGCATAGAAAAAACGAACTTACTGCCGTATCCTTGAGCATAATACGCTTGTGTTTGATGAGCAGCTTCTCGAGTGGCATTATGACACGACGTAGATAAGTCTCATCACGCCTGTTTTCATATAGCCATTTGGCGTCTAGAACATCATGCATTGTAACTAAATTGTCCTACAACGTTAAACAGACAATATTGCATGCACATACTGATTCTGATATGAAACCACTCCGTGTCCGCCTCAGCTCTTCCATAACACCTCCACAACCGAGGAGGAGACCGATATGTACGCACAGCGTTCGAACGTATGTTCCAGCCTCACATCTCACCTTCACCAGTCCTAAACATAAAGAGGCGTGAGATCTCGGGCACTTACCTAAACATTCTTCCTTGTTGTACTCCAATAATCTGCACTCATAAATAGTACGAACTCTAAGCTGACGCTTGACCGCCGCGACAAGTGGAGGCCGCTGGAATAAAGCTCCTGTCAGACTCTCCACAGCCTAAAAGGGTTCAGAGGCGCGTTCAATTAATTTCATATGAAGACAGCAGTGCACAAACAGAAAAAACAGTTAGATCACTCACTTTCTGTATACGCTTCACATCATCCACAGGTTTGTGTAGTCGGAATATACATATATAGTCTTTACCAGCACTCTGTTGAGACTTGACCAGGCGAGTGGCACGGTCAATACAAACCATAAGACAACCAGAGACTTTAGGATCCAGTGTGCCACTGTGACCAGTTTTAGTGACTCCGAGAGCTCTTTTAACCCATGCAACTACTTCGTGTGAGGATGGATTGCATGGTTTGTCAAGGTTGATGACTCCACTCCTTGAAAAAAGGGTTAGTGATAAACTGGGCTTACTTGATGTATTCGTCTAAGGGTCTGTGTAGAGGAGAGTATCCTGTGGTGTCTGCCTCAAAATGGCATTCTCGGACATTCATCAGATGAACATTCTACTACATTACAGCATGAGCACTCAGTTACCTTCAACAATAGTGGCCATTGACTGCAATCAAGTTTAGGCTCCTTGTTCTCCGAAACAACTGCAAATGATTTGGATGCCTGGATTGCCTATAACAACTTGATGAACATTCATAGGACTGGAATATTACCCCAACACTACCAGCAGAAACCTTGTTTTTCTTTTTCCCTCCTGCCATGTGATATGAACAAGTACGCCGCCAGGGTTCACTGGTTTTCCGGGTGTATTCAAACAAAGCGAATGAATCAATGCCTTTCGGAGTGTACACTGCTGTTTCAACTGACTTTTACATCACTCATAGCTGTTGTTTCTTCCTCTCTCATTATTTGTCACTCATCTTTGATAAGCACAATATTCCTTGCAACGAACTAAGAGACACACACGATTCATCTGAAGACACTGAAGCCGCACTATGCGCTACAGTCTTCTGAAATCAATGCATCTCTGTAGGTTTGATTGCGTGTATTGCATCCTAAGAGTTGCCTCTTCATTGTTAAAGTTGGCCGCAGATCTTCAGGGGTTTTCAATGCACATCTAACCACTGCCTGCCACATTTACGTTAAACGACAGATGAGTATTTAGGTTAATTGATATTTTCACCATGTATTCATCACCCGTCCTCACCTACAGGCCTCTTGATGGTTTAGTTTTAAGGCGGAGGAACTATTTCCTGTGGAGGTCGGTTTCTTGAGTTAATCACAAGGAGAGCCTGTGCTCCTCATAGATATATCTCGTTCTCTTCCAGTGCTTTCACGCCGTGTACTCTGCCTGACAAACTTACTGCTATCTACAGAAGATTGGAACGAAGCCAGGGACAAGAACCATCTACTCGACGTTATCTTCAGCGACCTTAGTAAATCATTCGATAAGGTATCCCACTTAGGTCATCATAGTTAACTCAAACGTTTTGGATTAGACCAACGCCTATGTGAGAGGTTTAGCCACTACCTGATGGATAGAAGGCAAAAGGTAAGGGTTAATGGTGTGCTGCAAGGGTGGAAAGCAGTAATAAGTGGAGTACATCAGGGAACTGTTCTTGGCCCCCTGATGTTCCCATTATACGCAAATCAACTACGAAAAATCTCACTTCATCTTCCTTATTATTGGCGGACGACATTAAGATATGGAAAACCGTAAATAGTAACGATGATAGGTTGGTACTACAAACGATCTAAGGAAATTAGCTGAATGGGCTAGCCTCTGGAGTCTGGAAATTAAATCCAAGAAAAGCGCGGTAATGTACCTAGGTCAGAGGTCTTACACGTCGTACTCTCTGGGGGATACAAGACTGCCAGATGTTAAGGGAAAAAGGACATATAGAAGAGATTCGGCATTCTTCAATGTTGCCTCCTACGGTGAACTGGTCACACCAAAGGTTGTGTTAGCGATGCAAAGTAGCATGCGAGGTTTCAGGAATCTGGGCAGTTCATCGTCACACTCCATGTAGCACACAAAGCAAGAGAAGAAAGTGAAAAGAAATGCAAAATAGAGACAGTAAACAGAGACATGAGACAAAAGGAATAGTAATAACGAAGCAACAGTCGGGAATGATTCATAACTTAGGAATACTGCACACTTGGGTTCGTTCTTCTCCTTCATCTCCCGGATATCTCGTAAAGAAAGTCTCCAACTGTGACATCATTCTCAGCATGGAACTTTAAGGCACTCTTGATATAAGCATAAAACTTGGGCACTGTGGTAGAGTATAACTCCATTATGGATGAGATTTTATTTTGACAAATCACACAGTGTTATACAGTAATATTAACTGATGACGTTTCGAGCACAAACTATTGCTCATAATCATATCAAGTTACTCACACAACTTTTTCCCTTCATTCATGTACATGTGTGGAATTGACTAGATATTTAAGGCACTCTCCCTAGTCAGACGACAGATCCTCATTGAATCGCAACAGAAAACAGGCAACCTGCGTCACAAAATAATCCATTCTACAAGTGTTTGTATTGCCAAATATACGCCTGATCCACAGATATCAACGAATGTCAGGCAGCCTTATCGGACTTTGTCAGATCAAAGAACATAATCCGAGATGGATCTATGTACACATATGTCTGTGTGTGAACACGAAAATCAACGGACTGCAATTACTGATCTTCAACAGCCTCTACTAACCCTATTGCAGACCACTTATTCGCTACGCACGCCTCCACATCAGATACAGTAAAGTTGACCAGTAGACCATCTGAGAAATGCTACTCTCACAAGGATGACACAGCTTTCCAAAACCTAGGCTGAACTGTCTTTCGTAAACAATTGTTATTCCATTCACATAGACTCGTGGGCACTGTTTCGACCGCACTCCACAATATGCACTCATGTATATAAACTACTTGTTTCTCCCACTCGCCTGTTACATGAATTCGACTGCTTACTTCGGACTAGTCTTGGTTGATATCTGTGGGTACCGATAGAACCGGGTCAGTATCTGACATGGCTTACATCCTATCCTCTTTACGCCTAGAAACACCCTCGTTCAACTCTGATAAAATAGAGTTGTTGGCGAATTCAATCTCACTGACCTCAAATCTATCTTTCCTATGTGACACGATTCTATCTCGCATCTGTCTCCACGTGTCTGACACTTCAGTTGTGACAAACCCCTGAAACTCCTACTCCTATCACCCAGTTTTAAGCAGTGGAAGGAGCAGGCCTTGGCAAACACCGGCTGACCAGCCCACAAGTCCAAACAGCGGTCACAATCAAAATCGAAAAGTGTGAGAGCTTACACCATTTCCAGAGTGCTTGTCTACCTGTCCCACTATTCGTGTGCTGCAAACGTTGGTAAGATGCCTACCCAAATCGTTGTCTGATCTGCCTGATTGAAACAGCATAGCACTCGCTTAGTGGCTAACATGTTCACTTAAATGACAGTAAGCAAGACATCAATTAGGTCAATCACATTCTCCGATTAGTCTCTGCATACAACAATACTCAACACATATCACGTCTGTCTGCTTTCCACATAGAACTTTGCACCGATGTGCAGCAGTTCAAGTCGTCACACTCCATGTAGCACACAAAGCAAGAGAAGAAAGTTAAAAGAAATGCAAAATAGAGACAGTAAACAGAGACATGAGACCAAAGGAATAGTAATAACGAAGCAACAGTCGGGAATAATTCATAACTTAGGAATACTGCACACTTGGGTTCGTTCTTCTCCTTCATCTCCCGGATATCATCTCGTAAAGAAAGTCTCCAACTGTGACATCATTCTCAGCATGGAACTTTAAGGCACTCTTGATATAAGCATAAAACTTGGGCACTGTGGTAGAGTATAACTCCATTATGGATGAGATTTTATTTTGATAAATCACACAGTGTTGTACAGTAATATTAACTGATGACGTTTCGAGCACAAACTATTGCTCATAATCATATCAAGTTACTCACACAACTTTTTTCCTTCATTCATGTACATGTGTGGAATTGACTAGATATTTAAGGCACTCTCCCTAGTCAGACGACAGATCCTCATTGAATCGCAACAGAAAACAGGCAACCTGCGTCACAAAATAATCCATTCTACAAGTGTTTGTATTGCCAAATATACGCCTGATCCACAGATATCAACGAATGTCAGGCAGCCTTATCGGACTTTGTCAGATCAAAGAACATAATCCGAGATGGATCTATGTACACACATGTCTGTGTGTGAACACGAAAATCAACGGGCTGCAATTACTGATCTTCAACAGCCTCTACTAACCCTATTGCAGACCACATATTCGCTACGCACGCCTCCACATCAGATACAGTTAAGTTGACCAGTAGACCATCTGAGAAATGCTACTCTCACAAGGATGACACAGCTTTCCAAAACCTAGGCTGAACTGTCTTTCGTAAACAATTGTTATTCCATTCACATAGACTCGTAGGCACTGTTTCGACCGCACTCCACAATATGCACTCATGTATATAAACTACTTGTTTCTCCCACTCGCCTGTTACATGAATTCGACTGCTTACTTCGGACTAGTCTTGGTTGATATCTGTGGGCACCGATAGGACCGGGTCAGTATCTGACATGGCTTACATCCTATCCTCTTTACGCCTAGAAACAACCTCGTTCAACTCTGATAAAATAGAGTTGTTGGCGAATTCAATCTCACTGACCTCAAATCTATCTTTCCTATGTGACACGATTCTATCTCGCATCTGTCTCCACGTGTCTGACACTTCAGTTGTGACAAACCCCTGAAACTCCTACTCCTATCACCCAGTTTTAAGCAGTGGAAGGAGCAGGCCTTGGCAAACACCGGCTGACCAGCCCACAAGTCCAAACAGCGGTCACAATCAAAATCGAAAAGTGTGAGAGCTTACACCATTTCCAGAGTGCTTGTCTACCTGTCCCACTATTCGTGTGCTGCAAACGTTGGTAAGATGCCTACCCAAATCGTTGTCTGATCTGCCTGATTGAAACAGCATAGCACTCGCTTAGTGGCTAACATGTTCACTTAAATGACAGTAAGCAAGACATCAATTAGGTCAATCACATTCTCCGATTAGTCTCTGCATACAACAATACTCAACACATATCACGTCTGTCTGCTTTCCACATAGAACTTTGCACCGATGTGCAGCAGTTCAAGTCGTCACACTCCATGTAGCACACAAAGCAAGAGAAGAAGGTGAAAAGAAATGCAAAATAGAGACAGTAAACAGAGACATGATACAAAAGGAATAGTAATAACGAAGCAACAGTCGGGAATAATTCATAACTTAGGAATACTGCACACTTGGGTTCGTTCTTCTCCTTCATCTCCCGGATATCTCGTAAAGAAAGTCTCCAACTGTGACATCATTCTCAGCATGGAACTTTA